TCCTCTCTCTCTCTCTCTCTCTCTCTCTCTCTCTCTCTCTCTTTTTCTCTGTTCCTCTTCATATCGCTCCCGAAGTCATGGACAGAGTAGCGTTCTCCTCCTCTACGTTAAACTTGGGCAACTTTACATAGAAACCATCTCCCCGCCTGCTAACTTGCTTGCACCTCTTGACCCTATATAGAGTGATTCGTGGCGTTGCGACAAGTTGCACGTAAGATGCGGTCGCGCAAGTCGGTTGGGCAGTAAAAGATTAACGAGATTACACGCTCTGGTCGCCGTAACACGTACAAATACATCGCTCCATTAAGATGCTTAGATGTTGTTAGCTTGCACATTACTGTGTACATCACTTGATTCTCGCTCGTAATTATTTAAGAAAATTCACATTGGAAACTTTGTCAAAAGCATCGCGTCATAGATTTCCAATAATGATCTTAATCGTTCACATTTTCGAATAATTTTTTTCTGACAGTTCGCATTACTATCGCTATGAGAGATAATATAAAACGCTTCCCCGAATAATTACAAGTGATTAGCGATTCGTTTTGCCTGTTCCGGTTAATTACAAGTGTATTATTATATTTCATTGAATCTCTGCCGGATTGAGCGATTTAATTGCGATAACTTCACCGACTCGCATTTTGCACGCATAGTTCGCCGAAATCGTTACGAGTTCGCATGTGACGGCTGTGGCAATCTGTTCTGTTCGAATAGGGACATAATTATCGGATAATATCGCCACACGGACCTGTTCACGTAGTACGATGAAGTTTTTGCATAAATCATGTATTGTAGCGAGCGGAAATATCAAAATAGCTACTAGAGGAAGAGTATATGTATATTTATTTATAACTCAAGGTGTCGATACATTTAAATATATCTCGTGAAGAGGTCACGAGAAAATGAAAATTTGCGAGATAAAAGCGAGGACAAATCTGCAAGGAAGTATCGGATAAAGTTTGCGTATGTATAAAAATTTCCAGGGGCGTTTCCACCGGCGTTTTCAACTTTGTAGCAAAGTATCGACGTATGTCGGGAAAGCATTCAACGAAATATTTTATATAAATTTAGTTACCGCCTCAATCTTGTCTGTAACTACAAGTGTAGTAAACAAGAACTTTAGTCATTTATTTGATCGCAGTTATGATTGGGATTTAGGAAGCTCATTAAATTATTAATAATAGTGGCATAATAAAATTAAGAAAATATTAATATAAATTATTAAATTAAAAAATATTTAAATATTAATATAAATTATATAAGGCAAATGGTTGGTGCATATAATCCGATCAATAACCGATGCACGTATATTCAATTATTTAAATTTTCTAGAAAGTCGTTTGCGTGCAAATAAGTTGGGCGTGAAAGTCAAATATTCATGGATAAACTTGCAACATATTTGAAACGTATGCGAAGCAACCGGAGCAAACATATGAATAGCGTAAACAAATTCAAATTCGCTTCAATATTATTGAATATAAAAAAATATTAAAATGAATATAAATCGATTTATTGTTATAAACGCAAAATGGCATGCCCGTCACGCAAAACCTGTCACGTATATCATGTGTCAATTATTTACAATTAATACATACCGCTCGTATTATCAATTCATCAAAATCATTTCATCCAATTTTATTTTGCTCATAAAATTATTTTGACATTTTCTATGTAATTTCTCGAGGCAAACATACGATATTCAACGATACCTATTTTAAAGGCATATGTTCTCTCATCCGTCTGAAATTAATTTGTTGTTAATTAAACTGACGAAACAATAATTAATTTTCGTAATAGTTACAATTGTTACTTGCGACAGTAGTTAAATTTTATTGAACTTTATTTGTCCAAAAGTTACCTTACTGAAATAAAAAAAATATTTGAATTTACATTAAATATTACAATTATAATAGATAACGATTGTCTCTTCCAAGTTTTTCTCAGAGAAAAGTTCCCCGATCAAAGAACACCTATCGCTACAAGTAAAGTCAAAAGTTCGAAATGGTCTCGTATAACATTGGAAATTAACACAATAAAACTTCCGGGGTGTGAACATTACGCGGAAGAAATCTTATGGGTCGTGAAAACTTTTAAATTCAGAAACGCGAGAGAGGAGGAAAGAATCGGAATCTCGGGCCAATGGTGAGTGTAAAGCGAAGCTCATGTAGTGGTGCGGACGCGATATACGGAAGATTTTTGGCGGCGCGCCACGATTCTCAGCGAAATAAACTAACGACAGGGATACCACGGGAGCTAGCGACGAGGTAGATCGGTCGGAGATAAATAAATTGCAATGATGGCGCACTCTCTTTTTCCCCGGTTGTCGTGCTCGCGCGTACCGAAATATATCGCTCAGAATTAATAGCGCGTCGTGACGGCGCATCGCCGCGAGGGAGATTTAAGTCAAGATATATATCGCTTCCTAGCGCTCTCATTGTGCTGATTCTTGGAGAGAGAGAGAGAGAGAGAGAGAGAGAGTATGTGCGGCATTTTGCAGAAGCTTCCAGCAGGAATACGTTATCTGATAACCTTCTAATAAGAGTCACGGAGCAATATCGTCCAATTTGGCCCACCTGCTCTATGTCTCAATATAACTAGTTCTTCTACGTGACATCGATTCCTAATTGAGACTCGCGCAAGTACGTTTTACTCGGGGAAGCGATTCGGGGAAAATAAGTATTATTATCTATCATGACATTCTTGTTGACGCGTAATGACACGTGATCAAACGCGTTACGCGATAATTCTTATTAAAGAGATTATCTGTATATCTACTTGAAATCGAATCGCGAACACGTACATCGATAACGATGTTAACGGAATCCGTTGCACGAGGGAAGTTTAGCGTTGTGGAGTGAGAGTTAAAGACTTCCGGTCAGGTCTTTTATGCTAATGTAATTTGGAAAGAAGTGCCGCAGCTTTTCCATTAGCATTTATCGTCCTAATTGCAGATATATTTTAGCTATCAGAAACCCGTAACGTTCCTTTCGATATTCCGTAAGGAGTAAACGTAAAAGTATATAAACGGCATGGAAATGATAAATATCAGGATTATAAAGTTCAATAATATATAATAAAATTAATAAGTTTAATAATCAACCTGTAAAAAAATACACACAAGTTCCAGTTTTTTTATATATGTTTTAAACGCATCTTTATACGCTAAAATATCTCTTATTAATATCATAAAGCTGTAGAATTGATGCAATTTCGTAGAGGCAATTTCGCATTAGCTAACGTCAATAGCTCTTAACAGCATCTCGATAAGCGAACGTAAGCTTGCGACGCACTCGACTTCGTAACTGGTGATCTCCTGAAATCGTTAACCGCTACTCGCATCAGCGCGAGCTTTAACTAAAGGGTGAGCGAGCCATTAGAAGAGCTACGTAACGCGATACGTGATACGTCCCATTCCGTGTCCTCAATTGCCGTCGCCTTTGATTTCGCTGTGTCGTCGAAATCGAGATTGGATAATGACGATGATACGTGAGATCGCGGATTTTGCACTCGCCTTCGAGGCGTGTCAGTTATCTCGATCCAGCGTCCCAATCTAATTCCCCAATTATTGATTTACCTTATCTAATTTAAAAAAAAGAAATCTCGATCGTCAATCCGTCAACAGAGTTCGCCTGAAGAAAGATGAGACGAGAGGGCGATTATAAATCTTTAAAAAGGTTGTCGTGATTTGAAAACATCGCTCTTCAAATTTAAGGCGAACGCTCCTCCGAGAAATAAAGAGATCTAAAATCGTGCCGACAATATATAACAGCTCATAGTAAATGCATGAATGCGAGGAATTACTTGTTTCATTCAATTACTCCTACGATGTTTAATCATACTTTAATTAAACTCCTCGCACGCTCCGCCCGTGGGAAAGTTTAGAAGTTAATACCCGTAGAGAGGACGATACTTTCATATTAGCGCGGCAGTCGGCCGACTTACGAGCGCCAGTATAAAACGAGTTAATTACGTTATGGCAACGATGCGCCGCGCATCTTCCTCCTTTCCCGTTGTTATTTCCCGCGCGGAAACATCCCGCATCCAGACCTCACAGTCTACGTGAGACATTCGATTTATAATACTAGGAACTTTTTACTTTTGTGTACGTTATCATTTTACCTTTACCCGACGACTAATCGCTTTACTCCAATTCGTTTTACTAACAATTCTGTTATCATTGGTATTTATAATTTCAATAAACAAATATTTTTACGTAAACGTTTATCCGCGCGCTGTGGACCGACCTGATAATTTGTGCCCGATGATAAATCCGATGATAATTAAGCTCGGCGTAAATCACGCACCGTTGCTCCTTAACCGAATCGCCCGTATATATAAAACTTTTGCTATCGCGACATATTTTCCCGATAGTTTTGCCCGACAATTTAACGTCACAGGATTTGACATTGCCATAAAGTCCTTCTTACCAAAATCTTCTTACGCCTTTTCTTACGCGAAAGAGCGAGGAGCTACGTCGGGATTTTCAATTCACGGATTACTCAAGACGATGAATCGGCGGAGCCGAATGGCGCCGTGAGATAAGCCAAGACGCCAAACGAGCTCGAGCTTACTTATTCACAACTTTTGCACTTGTGTTTCAGAGAATGACGATGTTGAGGCCGCGGTACACGGGCCGCAGCAGCGGAAATAGATAAGGCAGCAGCCGGTCGGGCCGCACGCCGAGCCAGTCATGTGTAGTGTCATGTGGCTTCTTCGGCTTCTGACGATCTACCGCTTGGCTCACCTCTCGGCATCCGGCACGCAGACAGGTGAGTGAGAAAGCCTTTAGAAAACAGAAACGCGAAGCGTCAGGCGCCTGCCGTTTCTCCGTCGTTTTTGCGATCCGTGATGAAACGGCGAGAAACGGGCGGCGACACAAATATGGAACGAGTCGGAAAATGGACGAGCGTTGGTAATTCCTAAATTATTGCCACGAGCGGACCCGACAGTTTGACGAAATCGATTTACAGATCACGCGTGAATCGTATTTATGACTTACGCTGCGCGTGCTGCCGCGATGGCGTTCATCCAAGTATTAACAACGCGAATCTCCAGTTCGCTCGTTCCATAACATGGCGACGTGGGGTGAGTTATGGTAATGCCGACTGTCATAAAGACCGTCGTATCGAAAATTTCGAACCGGTCCATCGTCGATATTCAGAGTGAAAGACCAGATGTTTTTATATAACATTGCTGTAAAACATTGCAAAAATATTTTTCCTCTATAAATTGACAGCTGTGATTATATTTGTCAATCGAAAATTCTTATAATGAGATTAGCGATATTACATAATCGAGAAATTAAGCCCCAGCGATCTCAAGTAGAAATTCAAAGGCAATACGTGAAGCTTCCTTTACCTCTTTTATATATAAATGCTATAACGTTGATTAAAGAGAGTATACTGCAGTAATATAGGATATCGTTATTAAAGAACGTACGAATAGGAAACTATTACTTTTGTCGTAAAGAAGATTTACTCACGTGAGTGAGTGTCTCGCGAGTCGTAACATACTTTTACAACTTCATGCTTTATATCTCAATATTCCGACTCCGATGTTACATGTACACATCACATCTACCATAATCCAAATCCAAATCGGAAGTAGAAACGATGCGATATTCGTCGTTCACGCCTTCTTTTGCCACAGTCCAAAATATCGCTCGATGGAAACAATGTCGCGATGTAACGTCGCGTTGCATCGAATGCAAAGAGATTTTCACAATTGTTCGCAAGACCGTTTCTGCGCAAAATCACGAGTCATGGCACGCAGTAAATCATTGTCGCCCCTTGCTGGTCACTGAGACTCGTATCGAATGCGTCAAATATCCGACCGACGTTTATCATCATGAGAACGATACTTAGAGTCCCATAACTTCATGACTTTAATGACAACAGGGAATGCTTGCTCCATACGTATTAATAGTGACATTATATTTATTGCTTGCAATCACAATCCAAATAGGCAACTAGATAGCCCAACAATCAATAAATACAACGTTTGAATTATGTGTGTGTCTGAATTATACAATGTATAATTCAGACATACACACACACACACACACACACAATTCAATGCTTTTCATTATTCGCGAATATTAAAATTAGTTTATGAATAAAATTATTTAATTTATCGGTATAATTAAATTATTAGATGTATTTTGGAAATTTTATATATTATAATGTGTTATAATATACAATTTTATGCAATGTAATTCTATATATATATATATACGATAAATTTTTAGTTTTCTTTCATACATTAAAGATTTCGTTGTGGAAATGCATGTCTGTTTGGCGTAGGTGATTGGAGTTTACACGAAATCTACGAGGATCTGAAATATACGTGTCGCTCGCGGAAGAGCCTATCTCACGAGACGCGAGATGAATCTCCATGAAATTTAGATTACGGTCGAATATAAATTCTGGATGCGACAGTATGTAAATCCAAGAGACGATAATAACTTCCGACCATGTCCCTCTATTACCTCGTAATACCGCAATACGACATGTTGTTTCGTATTATGCGTCGTTTCGTATCGTGACTGATTAGAATTAATCAAATGTCTACTACCGACAGGACATAAAAGAACATACGAATGCGATATTTTGACAGAGAAATGGAATTATGAGACGAGGAACAAACAAAGTCAGTTCTTAAATAAATTAAAAATTATCTTAAGTCATATCTCTCAAAATAACTTTAATAATAAAATAATCAGGATAATAAAACAATATAATAATAAGGGACTTCAAAACTTTATTACAAAATTTTATTATAAAAAGGATTTTCTTATATATTTAAAAGTAAGTCGTTTATGTAACAAAAGCTTACGACCGCTACGTTGAAAAAAGATGAGAAAAAATGTTTAAAAGGATAATGATGTACTACATCTCTTTGTTGTACTAAAAGGCAATGTTTAGAATCTAAGCACAAAGTAAAATTTTCGCAGATGCACTTTATTAAATGATAGTAAATCATTGTAATTGAACTATTCATCTTCGTCCACTTCTTTCGTGCACGTTCTGCTTCGTTTAGCACGTATCTTATTTCGCTACCTCGATTTAACTGCGCTATTCACTAACGGGATTCAAATGTAATCGTTAGTAGTTTATGCAGCGATGTGCTGGAGAATTTCGCAGCAATGCGGTCTCCTCTGCTAAAGACACGTTATCTCTCGATTGAGGCGGTTATTGTTCCTCGTAAGGCGGAAATGAGCTGAACGGCCCATCTTGGCATTGTCAGATGCAACAGTACCGATGTCGGTTCGCATGATGGTGGGAACAGAAGGCAGAACACAATTACCGAGAGCTGCTATTAATGCAATAACGAAAAAAAAAGTCGTCGCCCCTTTCCGATATCGAATTATTGTTTTTAACGAATGCTGTTTTGCATCAATTAACGATGCAAAGTCGATAACCAAGCTGGGATACAAATTACATTCTATTGGATCGGCCGTCAATTATTTTGCAATGAATTTAGGATTATCGGAAATGTCGACGCGAAGTAATGGTATGTCGAAATATTAGCGTGCTCGGTGTACTCTAAATTGCAACGAGTAAATTTATTACATATTACAAACAGGGATGGATCACACGGGTATAACGTGATATTTGAATTTTGCACGTCAATGATAATAAGATTATAGATGTGAACCGTACGCCTCATAATAAATCTTGTATACATAGTTTTCAATTAAACGAATCTTTATTTATTTTACCACATTATTATTTTTATTATTACATGTTTCAAGATTATAAAAATAATTCAAGTTTTGGCCTAACCGTAACGAATATCAGTAGTAAATCTATATCGATAGCACTTCGCTTTCGATTTATTTACGACCGAATAGAAGGAAAAAAAAATGATTAATTCGCCATTAGCGCGATTTTCTTACGAGAGGATTCTCCCAAACAAGGGAATCTCTGCAGCAAAATACCACCAATCGACGTGTTTCTACGCTATACGAGCGTCACGTCGCTCAGAGAGAGAATGGATGCACCGACGTGGACGTTCGAAACGCGTGCAGAATTTCTAATCTACTCGGTACACCGCGACGTGGGCGCGTACGCAAATCATGAAAGTGACAAAGCGATCGGCACGCCGACGTGTGCGATTAATTCCCAGGGAGATCGATGCCGAGTGCAGCGCGTTGCCAGCATCGCGGAATGTTACTCCACGTCCTTGCGTACACCATATAAATTAAATGCGTCTACGTCGAACGGAACATGCCGAGAACGTGCTCACGTATTCGTTAATGATACGGTAACCTGCAGCCTCGGTCTATCCGTCTCTTCCGATTATCCCTCTGTATTATGCGTGTGCCGTCTCCTTCCATCTGTCTCATTGCCACTTTGATTAATTAAAACAGCCGGAGAAGGGGAAACTGGTGCTGATTAAGTAATTAGTACGCAGTTGAAATTATATAGATATAATTATAAATTATTTTTATATATATTATTTATAAATATAAATAAATAAGGGACCTGTATAATCAACCGCTTGTTAATTGTATAAACGCCCGTTGTTCAATCAACGCTATTGTTTCTCTCGCTTTTCCTTTCACTCTCTCTTTTCGGCTTAATTTAATCGCTACATATAATCAAACTAAATCCGAGTATTACTTCAAATCGATACGACACATATATCTAGAACGTATTGACATGGCGCGTAATGCACGTGCTCGTTCGCGTGCGTGGCTGCATGACGTATGCAATACCCGCAACGGAGAACTACTCGAACATGCAACCGAGCGTTCGCCGTGAGTCCATCCGTATATACCTGCAATTCTCGCAATTTATAGTATCTGCAACGCGTTGCACCTGCAACACGTTTGTCATAAATCGGCCGATTCTACGAATCAGTCTCGCGAATCTATCCGAGGCATAAGGTATAATGCGTACAATATATTCTCTATATTTACGAACATTACACGAATCTGCAAATCGGATATCGAAGAAAGTGCTCGAAGCGAATGTTTCGTGACGTCGAATTTGTAAGAAAATTGATAAATGCGCTATAAATTGATAATGTTAGATGATGTATGATTTGCGATGAGTATGATTTATTAGCAAGAGAAGAACATATTGTGTGCGTTAAATCTAAAATGGAATTCATTTTTATTCTTTATAAAAGTAATAGTTTTCGTAGTAATGCTTAATTTCTATCAAATCTTTTAATATTATAAATCGATCTTCTAATCAATTATAGAAAAATTTATTGTAAAAGAAAAGAATTAGAGAAGAAACTTTTATTTATGAAATATGTAAAATCAATTAAATTATTATTATATATAAAAACATTTTTCTATAAGTAGTTTCTCTTTTTCTTATTGGCATCTTATTTGGATATATTTATATAGATAAAAATATTCGTGAAAAAAATCTATTTACATTTATTAATAGAAAATGTTTATAATAAAAAATTCAATGTAATCTCATTCATTAACGAAGAGAAGAGATACTGAAGAAATTAGAAGAAGAAAAACATTCGATATATAGCCGATTCGATTTATAGCCATCGTAAGCCTACGACGATGTGTGTGACGTAGAGTTGCACGGCGACGAATGCATAAAACATGAGAAGTCCAGTGGATTGTGTTACGAATTAGAATTATTTATTGTGATTTGAACCATACGATTGTACGATGCATTCGCAACAGCGCGTCTTGCTCTCTATCTGCATTCTCAAGTATGAAAATGGAACCTAGCACTGAGAGATAAATCATAAAAAGGCCGAAAACCACTATTCTAGGACGACATTCTCCAACTAAACCCAAAGAACAGAGAGCATAAAATACACGACGCGTGCATTTCCCAAGTGGAACGGATCAACGTTTGCCATGACCGCTTGTCTTTGCCGGATCCTCCGCTCATTCGCGCGATATGCGAAATGCGACATATGTGCATGTTTACATATTAAAGTTACATCTTTTAGTACAGGTCACACAAGTAGTACATTAAAAATATTGGATAAAAATTTTAACAATTCACTTTTTGATAAGAAAATACTTAATTGTAATAATTGTGTCTTAAAATTATCTTTATTTCCATTACTACTATTCTATTCTCTATTTCTATTCTCTATATTTATTTCACTGTTCAAATATCATTCAAAACAATAATCAACTGTTATATAAGGACTATTAGATAATTTTACAATATTTAAAAAATTTTAAGTCTATGATAAAAATCAAACCTAACTTTTTTTGCAGTACAATTCATATTTTATTTTGTATCTTATATAAAATTTAATGTGTAATTTAAAAAAAAATAACTAAATTAAAAATGATATATTTGTAAAAAGCGAGATAACTATTTTTTATGCATATTTTTCGTCGTATATTTGCGTTTAAAATATATTTAAAATATATATTACCTCGGCGCGAGATTTATGTTTCCTCAACACATTCTTCGTACTACTGACTCAAGATTTCTCTAGCATCTGACGGAATAAACTCGTGTAATTAGTTACGCCATGTAATCTGGTATACCAGCGTGATTTCAGAATGTATATCTTGCCAACAAATGGTTGCAATCAGCTGGTACCAGTGACATACTGACGCGGCCATCTCTCTTCAGCTCAGTACCCGAATGCCGGACTTCGAAAGTTGAATTACGCCGTATTTCGCGCGGGTGGTCGGGAATTAACGACACTTCGCCATTCCCGTTTGCTTGTCAACTGTTCGGATATTGTTTGCACATGAATCATTCTATTTCAATACCAATCCTTCCTTGGAAACTTTTCAGAGATTGGTTTGTTGTGTACACTGTTATATAACAGGTTCTATTAAAACTATTTGTCACGATCCTAAATCAATCAATTGTCATTAAAAATCTCATACATCGGCTCATTAAAAGAAATAGTCATGATTTGTCGTTTCGATTATTTTTTTCTCGATATATTTCGCAAACTATAAAAATGACAATATGATATAATAAAAAAAAAAAACAAAAAAACAAAATACACAATTTAACAGAAGTATCTATTAAGCGTTATAAAACATATGAACAAATTGACTCGATCGCGATTACTTGTCGAAATATTTAAGATCTCCCGCGGTACATCAAGTGAGATATCA